CAAACCCAAACCAACATGGAACCAACACTGATTTTCCTTCATATCCTTTGAACATATTTTGCCAATAGTGACGTGAAATAGGTCTTAAATTGCATTTATCGTGTTCTTGAAAAGGTCTTAATGTTTTAAATTCAACCTGTTGAAACCTGCAGAAACACCGAGTGTGCACACTTGCAGTACTTCAAACAGTTAATCAACACTGATCATCACACTGAGCCAGCAGTGTTAATGTGTGTTGTTGTTCTGGCCTCTCGCCAATCAGTCCCATCACAGCAGGCGCTTCCTGTCAGCTGCCAAAAGCAAAATAACGCTGCTGATTTATTGTTGTGGTTTTTGTTTAGTAATTGTGACCCTTCCTAATGAAGCTGAATGAATTCCTCTACACACTGTTGACAAGGTCCAAAGGGCCTGTACTGCTCTCTGCTCTGTCAACTGAATCCCTCATGGCTCAGGCTTTAGTTGTCGCTCCTACAGCAGTCATTGCACTGTAGAAGAGTTCAGCCTTTGGTCTCACATTATCAGTATAAAGTGAGAACTGACTCCTGCCATCTGTGATGTAAACCCTGCAGGGAGAGTAAGATTGCCTCCTCAGAGAAGATGAGGATCGGTGGCACAGCGGAGATGGCCTGGATGCAGATCTGTGATCCGTCTGACAAGGAGAAGGGTCACTACTCCATCGAGATCTCAGACGGCGTGCAGACCCACACCAGAACCTTTGACCTCTCCGGACAAGGTAAAACTGGGCTTCGAGCTCAACACCTGTAATGTGGAATTTGTGTCCCACTGATGAGTATATTCCTTTTTATCTTATGACTCTTCTAGATTGGTTTTGTTGTATTTTACTTTCAGTCAGTTGTAGATTATTTGTATTCTTAAATATATTCTCTCCTTCTACTTCTACTTCTGTAAATATCTGTAAATGTTTCTGTTACCTGCCTAGGGACTACAGATGTAAACTAGCATCTTTGCTAACTCCGACATGTTTACATCTCTTATTTTTATATTGATGTTCATTAACGTGCTCTGTCCTTCAAATAAACAAATAAAATAAAATAAAAATGTCTCTTTTTGCAGCATACACCGATGCCTATGAGGAGTACCTAAGACTTAAGTGAGTAATTTGACAGTACAGTAATTTGTGAATGTATCTATAAATTGTATCTAAATTATATTAATCCTACGACGTTCTTTTATCTTTTAGGGCAGCTGCATTCGCTGAGAAGAGTGAGTATATCATTATTTATTACACTGATAGAGATTACTTGTGTGCATTTATTCCTTCAGACACATGAGCTTTTCATTAAAGGGACATTGACCTATTTCTAATTGTATAAATGTAACATCATCACATCATTATGATGTTTTAAAGACCCCTCAAGTGACCTCATCGACTCTTTGAGCATTCAGAACATTTTCAGTCGAGTCTCGCAGCCGAGTTATTTTTCCTTTGAAGGCAGAGTACGACTGAATGTTGGGTCTGAAAGTTCAAAGATTTAGAGCTTCACATTCCTCCCTTTTTCTCCTTCTGAACACATCAGCGTTGTTTACACTGCGACAGGTGGAGTCTTACATCACTTCACAATGCAAACAGGCTGATATTCTGCACTGAACCACCTGAATACAGAAGTAACATGCATGTTGTTGTCTCTCCTCAGACCGTGGCAGAGTGGTCGGTGGTCTGCCTGACGTGGTCACTATTATGGAACAGAAGGTGAGGATTTCTCATATTATGTTGACATGAGTCAGCACTATGTTAATAATATGTAAGACGACATTATACAGCAGCAGTAGTAGTAGGGGAGCTGTACTGCAGCATTCCTGTGAAGCAAGTGCTCAAACACAATGTAAAACTAAGATCTGTGAGCTGTCACTTGCTCCTCTCAGTCCCTCCACGACTTCACAGCAGCTTTTCAAAAAAACTACAATGCACATTGCAACGATTTTACACAAAAAAAGAACTAGAAAATCACAGACAGTAAAGGGAAGATATGCAGAGATGGTGATGGGACTTACCAGCCTCCAGTTTCAGTAAGTCTAAAGGGTCAGTTTACCCAAATTATATAAAATGTATTTTCTCCCCTTAGCTCAGCGGTTATCTGGGCAGCACGGTGGAGGTGAATGGCATTTTGTTTATGTCCTCAAAGGACTAATAAAGAAAACCTTTATAAATTAAACAGCAGTGACCTTTTCCAGAAACAGTCAGACCTCAAACAGTCCTCATAGTGAACAGTTTTCATATGGAACTTTTTTTACCGAAGACTTACATATATATTCGTTATTCAATTTGACAACAAAATCCCAACTCAAGGTCCAATTACTACTGTAGCTTCTTCCAGAGCAAACTGCTCATTTCTTTAATGATTTGAGCGCCACAAATGAAATGCCATTCACTGCAAAGATTCTCAGATTATTTTATTTTTATACTTTTTAGATGCTTAAAGACATACAATTATCCAGTAATTCACAAGAAGGATTTAGTCTGAAAAAAACAAACCTTCCTGCAGCAGAAATATATTCATTTCATCCCTTGTTACTCTTGCGCGCCCTAAGATTTATCTCATAACCTCTAAAGAGTGTGCCCAATTCCCGGGTTTGGAAGCTCTAAGTGGATTTTTTTATAATTTAGTTTAACCCACCCATTAATTGTTGTACAGTACTTTTTAAAAAAAGCTATAATTTGAATACATTTTGACTTAAGTTGACTCTCGACCCTTCACAGTCTCTGAGCCTGACCTGCACCGTGTGGGGCGAGCCGACCCCTGAGGTCTCCTGGTTCAAGAATGAGCAGGAAGTCGCCTCCACCGAGCACACCAAGGTCACGTTCGACGGCGGCAAGTTCGCCAGCCTCGTCATCAACAAGGTCACTCCCGACGACTCTGGCAAGTACAGCATCAACGTACGGAACAAGTACGGCGGCGAGTTCGTCGAGATCACCGTCAGTGTCTACAAGCACGGCGAGCAGATCCCCGAGCCCAAACTGGGACATCCCAAAACACCTGCAGTCACACCTGTGCCGCCAAAGTCCCCAGCTCCCCCCTCCAAGACCCCAACCCCAACCCCTTCTAAGACCCCAGCGTCCATGAAGAGCCCAACTCCAGCCTCTACCCCCGCTTCCACCCCGATCCCCAAATCTCCAACCCCAACCCCAAAGTCTCCAACCCCGACTCCAAAGTCTCCAACCCCGACTCCATCTCGTGGCGTCAAGTCGCCCACCCCACCCAGATTCATGAAGTCTCCCACCCCACCGAGGAAGTAGACGGTGGCGGTGACGTCTGAGGGGGAAACGTTTGCTGTTCGCAAAGCTGATTCATAGCATGAGTGTGAAACCGTGAGCTGTTACTTAAAAGTTGATGTAGATGTAGTCACTGTTAAAAGTCCCACTGTCTGAACTTCAGGACTACCACTTACAAAGAACCAAGTTTGAAGGTTTTTTGTGTTCTAGCTTTCTCTGTCACTTCTGAGAACTAGTTGCAGCGTATTTACAGGAAAAACCTACAAAAGAGGGACTTTTACAGTGGCTGCTAACGTACGGTAGATGTCCTTTTCAGTTATTTCATATGATTCAATAGGTGGGGAAAAGGCAAAGAAAAATAAAAACCAGGGTAGATGTTCATGTTCTATGTTTTAAAAGCTGCACCTTCCACTACACAACGCTAGTGGAATGCCTGTATACATTATGTATGTTAAAGGATAATTCTACTTTATCACAACTTGGTTCATATTTACGCAGTTCCATTTCTGTCAGTGACATCAGTAAAAAAAGAGGGAATACGGGTCAAGAAACACGAGCATCCAGGTGATTTAGTCGTAAACAAACCTCCTGGTGATACAAACTTCTTTGGAAGAGAAAATGAAGGTAGAATTTACAGACTGACTTTCTGGTTTAACTTTGACCAACCTACTATTCTCAGTGAGGGATTACTACCAACACTTGTAAAGTTTTACCTCTAAATAAAGTGGTTTCGATTAGGTTTGTTTACCAACCTGTCTGATCGTGTTCTTTCCCCATCTCACTCTGCTGTAGCGACGTCACTGTGAGCAACTTACCTGCTGAGTACAAAGTTATCATAACCACTAGAAGATATGACCAAAACTATGGAAATATAACCAAAGTTGTTATAAACTGGAATGATCCTTGGGAGTTGGCAGGTACAGAGCTGGGGTTCTTTTGTCAGTACCGGGGTGTGAAATTAACACCAGATACCAGATAATTTTTTTGTTTTTTGCTCTGGGATGGTGAAATGTTCCTCCTCTATCAACAGCTACTGTAGTCCCAGGTAGCTTCTAATCCTAATGAAGCCAGTTGCTGATCCTGTGAGTAAAGAAATAGTCACTTCCTGCCCTGGTCTCTATGCCAGAGAGGTCTGTCTGTCTCTGTCCCCCAATGCTTTGTGATGGCAATAAACTTGACTTATCAACCTCCTTCTGTTGTCTGTGTGAGTAATCTCTCCTTACCTCCGGATGTAACGTGACTCTGAATGAAGCTGAATGTAAAAATGTGCACATGTTGTGTTGTAGCCAGGCTCAAATGGACTGCATGACAAACAAACCTGCTCCAGCTCCTGAACCCAGGTGAGCTGAGGTGGGCAGGGCTTGTCGCAGTATGTGAGCAACAGGGCAGGTACGACAAGCTATTCCTTTGCATAGACACTTCAAATCCACACCTTAGTGCTGCTGGTTCAGGCTGCAGAGAGTACAGACAACCAAGGCTCACTGGAGGGTTTAACTCTCTTTTCTTTAAAGCTTCAGCACTCAGGAACACAGGAAGATTTCTATCACCAGTCATGAAGTAAGTCTGTTTAAGAGCTTTTTTTCAGTTACTTGTTCAGCAACCATAATGTACAAGCCTTGTTTTGTTTATCTTGTGGTGAATCACACTTGACAGGCAGGTTTCTGTCACTTTATATATGTAAACTGCTTTCCAGCGTGTTGCTTCATTACAGTTGAGTGTTAACAGTCACACAACTTGTCACACTGAAGGTAAAGGAGAGGTCTGTTGCACGTAGAGACTGAGAGTGGATCTGGCATCCATGGAGTCCAATCTGTCCTGCCTGTCTTCTCTAAAAGAAGAAGAGATTCCGGTTTACATCCAGCCACATTACAAAGAGACCTACCGCCTGGCCATTTACGCCCTGCTCTGTGGAGGGAAAGAGGCCTACGAGGAGTTCCTCAGGGCCGAGCAGATCAGCCACTTTCTGTCAGAGGATGAGATCCTGTTCATTTTGGAAAATGCAGAGTCACCACTTGTGGAGGATGACGCCGAGGGAAAACGGGTCACGGACGAAGTCACCCCCTCCACCTACTTCCCAACAGAGTCGGACGAGGAGGTGCCCGACCTGGACCTGGGCTGGCCCGAGGTCTCGCTGGAGGGCGCGGACACGAGCATCAGCCTGCTGTTCCACCCGCCCAGACAAAACACACCCAGCATCAAAGAGGTGGTTCGCAAACAGATACAGGAGGCTAGGCAGGTGAGAGCCACACACAAATACCATGAAGGTGAAGTCAGAATGAATCATCTCCATCCATCAGGTGGATAAATGTGTAAAAATTCATCTTCCTGACTTTGGTGCACACTCACAAATGGAGAACAGGGACAATAGCAGTTAATCTGAAGCACAAACACACAATGAAAGGCGTTGCACACCACTCTGCATATTTCTCTGCATACACAGCACACTGTACGCCTGGAAACTATACATTATCAGAGAGAGCTCAACACATTGTGTTTAACTGTGGCAGGAAATGTTGTCGTTCACTCATATAAAAGGTTCTTATCACAAAACAGCTATTTAAATCCCTCTTCAGTGTGCTGCTGTTATTGCATTTCACTACATTCAATGTGAATGATTCTAATGTAATAACAAAACCAGTGATTAAGTTGGATTTAAAGTTATTCTTACCTTTGAGTAACCAGAATTCACAGCCCATAGGCTGTAAATAGTTTTGCTTGCAGTTTTGCTGCTATGTTTGAAGAAAGCACTGAAAAAGTGCCCTCTAGTCTGCTCTTCCAGTTAATGTATATTTCATATTACATTCAAAACTGTACAATGAACCCAAACAGTGAACTCAGTAACTGCAGGAAGATTGTTTAAAATTAGCGATTTAGATTCATTTTGAGCAGATTATTTCCTGTTTAGGAAACTTTTTATACAATTCTCTGTAGTTTTTTCATGTTTAACAATCATAGACTTCAGTGACAGGCCCTATCTACAGCCAGTGTTTGGTTCTGTTCTGTTCAGCAAAACCACAATAATTCTTATTTTCAGGTGATTACACGCTAATGAAAACATACCTATGAATATTAAATTAAATTTCTGCCAATAGATCCTCCTCAGTGTTACACACTGGACCTTTAAGAGTCTGTAAATTCCTAATTATTTACTAGGAATATCTTGGAAAAAATGATGTGATCTGATAATTGTTCTGAGAGTTTATGAGGAAGACTGCTTCATTCAAAAGAAACATGCAGAAACAAATCACAAAATCTGGACAGATGCACTTCATCTGACTCAACCCTCATGTAAGAGCCTGTGGAGCTCAGGAGCAGACACGCGTGTGAGTTTACACATGTTACAACGCAGCCTCCCGCTCGACTATAGGTCAGACCTGCTCCATCCTGCAGCAGCTCAATCACAGTAATGAAACGATAATCTCATGCTTAAACAGATGTTGCTGATTCTATTGTAGGTTTTTAAGTGTCAAAACTAACAAAGAAATGACTAGATTAAGTCAAACCAACAGTTTGTGATTCAGTAACAACGAGTAAAATATCCCAATAACATAAGAGAAGAATACAAACAGTTATTCTGCCCCTTTTGCCCAAGTGTGTGTACAGCCAGTGGAGGATGAAGCACCTGAAAGACACAATGGAGTACAGATATCTTACCAGAAATTTACTTTTGTAGAAGTTAAAGTTAAAGTCACGTTAAGTATTAAAGGTAAACATATGAGTTAATAAAAAGCAGTCCGTAAGAGATTGTATTTATTCTTTAAGCATGTACACCACCTTAAAAATGGAGCCAACATTACACTTACACAAACAAAGTCTTCACAACTATAAGAACAACTTTAACTTTAAAGAGAAGAAACAATTACTGTCCAGCTTAATGTTAACAGTGTTAGTGCCAACCAATACCATCACCAACACTAACAGTCTGCTTCCATCATGAACTCATCATCCACTGGAATTGTTCTCATGTTGCCAGGATCAGACATGCCTGAATAAAAAAACCTAATTCTGACAATGTAATCATTCAGATAATATAAGATAGAACTTTATTTATTGTTTATTGAAATTGTTGTCCAGCAGTTGCAGTACCAAGAAAGAAAAAGTGCAAATATATATATGTATAAAATATCAATCCAATATCCACACAATGCCATAAATAAGGTTAACAGTTATAACACAACTGAGCAGCAACAGTAATATTGAGAATAAAATGTAGCAGAATAAGCAGACGTGTATCCTGCTGCTGCTAAAGTTACAACAGTGACTTTTAGCTGGCAAAATACTGACTTGCAGGAGGAACTAAGCACCCGAGGCGAGTATTTAGTCATTACTCAGTTTACGAGAATGAACGGCAAAAGGCTTTTTTCCACAGCCTGACATAAAAGTACCCCTTAACACATAAAGAACAGAGTGTATTACTCTACACACACTCCCTGCTCGGCTTCACAGGGAGAAAAAGTTAATTTACCAACTGTGAAATGAGTTCTTAATGGAAAAAGTTAGCATGAAGGTCATCTTTCACTTCCAGACACATGACATTAACCTGCCAACATGTCTCAGCTTGAATGTTCACCGGCTCCAGAGCTGAAACTAATAATTCAGAAATTACAGCAGGGCGTGTGTGTCTTTGCAGAGTGTGCAGGAAATGGACTCAGCACAGATATCCTCCATCTGAAAATGATTGATGAAATGCACACAGTGTAGATGCTCGATATGCAACTGCCTAATGTATACAGGTGCTGTAAAAACAGGTACAATTCAGTCTGATCATTATCAAGACAATGGTCATAAATCCTGTCTGCTTTCAAGCATGGTTTCTGTCGTCCCTTTGAGAAGCACTCCTCGTATAGTTTACAGAACATCTGATACAGCATGCTGCGATGTGTCCTGTTAATAATTGAACACATAAAGATTTATATCAGGCCAGAAAAGGTGGGTTAACTCTTTAATATAAAACCCAGTTCTTGTGACTCTTCCACAGCAACAGAATTCTATCTCAAAATCATAATTTATAAAATCAGGACTTTAAATGTGGTTAAAAAAGAAAATGAAGATCCATTTTAGGGTTAAGTTATAAGTTTTAATTTTGTGTACGGATCCAGATTCATTCATTAATTCACAGTGGTGGAATGTAAGTAAAAACATTTACTCAATTACAAGTATAATAAAGTTTAATTTTATGCCACTTTATGCTTTAGATTTAGTTACGTTTCACATTACAATTTTTCATGCCCTTTCTGTCCAGTGGCCTCCGGGTTTGGCAGTGGTGGAGGACAAACTCAGACCCTTAATTAAAGCAGCCACGAGGAACTTTCATTTTGTGTTGATTTTGGCGCCACTGCCTTGTTTCATTGATTTCAAGGAGAATCCGACCAAATCGGTCATCAAGAATAACTGTATAGGGAATGGCCAGTCTTCCCATTGATGGTCTTCTGTGCTTATGTAGGTCATATATAGGCATCAGTAATAAATTAGGTAGAAGAATGTAAGTATTATCAGCAACATGTACTTAAGGTGTCAAAAGTAAAAGTACACAGTTGCTTTCTGATTATTTGAAAATTAATTGACACAAAGCTAAAATAAATACTTTTTGTTTCGTATCATATGTTTCCAGGTTATAGCCATAGCGATGGACGTCTTCACTGACGTTGATATTTTTAAAGAGATCATCACTGCCACACTGAGGGGAGTGGTAGTCTACATCCTTCTGGATGATTCCCACTACAAGAGATTCCTCACCATGACCCAAATGGTGGGAGTGAATATCCAAGACCTTAAGGTGAGACTGAAACAACTGTCAGATAGACGGGTGAATGTCAAGTGAAAATGTTTTGGGGTTTGAGAACATAGTGAAAGCTCTGAGGCTAAAATTTTGTCCGTTACTGTAGCCCCGAAAAAAATCTGAATTTGGGAAAGAAGTGGAGCCTCCCACCCCCATACACTTCTCTTAATGTCTAAATCCATTTTAATGAATAAAAAAAAATGTACACACTGTGAAGTGAGACCACAATGTCCTTTGGAAAAAATATATTAACTTTGTTTTGTCAAGTGAGACTTTTCAAGGTTCCTCAGAGCTTTAAGAAAATCCCCAAAAGTTTGTCCGAGAAATGGACTCAAACTTTAAAACGTATATTTTACATGTTGTGGACACCAAGTATTCGAGATTTGATTTGGACTACAGGTTAAAAATGGAAAACCCTTCAAAATAAAAGGCACTGTGTGCTAATTGTTGTCATCCGTTGGGAACTAAACACAGGGGCTTGAATTTTATTTTATTTCTGTATGTATTTAATACCATAATATCCCCAACCCAGTGGTTTCAGTAGCACTCTCATTTAAATACACAGCAAACATATGTCTATTTCAAAACGATGTTTGTCTTGCAACATTTTGTAAAATGTATTCAGGTCGGGGATGTTGGAAACATCTTGCAACTTTAGTGAAGGGACCTAAAAGGACCTTAATTTACTTTTAATGTGCACCCACAGTCCCCGATATAAAATGATGGTCTCGGAAATTGCTGATTTTAAAGTTACCCTGTGGAGTTTTTGTCTGCCATTAGGGCTACAGATCAGTTTTTATGAGTGGTCCCCCAGGTTGTTTGTTCTCATGCATGTGGATGAACAAGCCAGGGGTGGATCTACAGGGGTAAAAAGATGCCGGGCCACCCCAGTTTGATGTCAAATGCTGTCAAATTTAACACATTATTTTAGATACATTTTAAAGATAATGTGTAAAAAATATTTTAATGATGTGTTATTGACACATTTTAGACTAAGTAATAGGTTTCTGTTCAATGAAAAAAGACAATAAAACAATTTATTCATTTCTAATGCCACCGTTAGATATTTCTATTCAATGCTTTACTAATGTGCCACAATAATGTAATGTCATTAAGTTCAAATATCTTCATTTGGGGGCTTTTCAAGCAAATATTGATACATGTGATTGTTGCCTATTAAATCAGCAGATATTTCTGCCACCCCTAAATCTCTCCATGTCACCTTCTGGCCACCCCATAATTATTTCTCTAGATCCGCTCCTGGTTTTGATTGGATTGCTTTAAGGTATGATGTTAGAAAATGATTGCTTCTTGTCTGGCCAACAAGATGCACAAACAGACATTAACAAGCCACAATGTACCAGACAATAACTTTTTAAATATGATCTGATGTGGACATTTTCAGACATTTTGGGAGGAAAAACGACCCATCTTTCTGCTCCTTCAGCCGTCTTTTTGTCCATTTGTATTCCACCGATGTTTGGTGCCAGAGGAAGTTTCGCCTGTGGCATGACCTTTCTTTTATTGGCAGAAGCATTTAGTAGATTAAGTATGACATTTGCTCCGCACCCTCGTGGAAACGCTGTCATTTACCAGCATTCCCCTGCTGCGTTTCTACCTGTCATTATCGTACGACACAACTGCAGCAGCAGCAGGACATATCTGTTAGCGGGGCTGGATTTTCCTGTTAAACAGCATCAGGACGACGTTTCAACAGTCCAAACAACAAGTTGTCAGAGCGAACACAGTGATGGCTTTGTGATCTCTGTCTGCAAATTGCTTAGCCAGTAGCCACATCAAAATATCAGCCTTAGAGAAACTGAAGCACAGGTTTGATCTTGTCTAGTATTACAAAGGGTGTGTGTGCCTTCCTTTGTGTGTGTTAAAGCTAGCAATGGAAGAGAAAAAAAAGTATGCTCTACTTTACTAATTTTACAGAATTATTTAAAATATATAAAATCTAGTCAAGTAAAATGCATCTCATTTAAAATGGAAATGTTACTTAAAAGTGCAGTGTGTAACATTTAAAGGATCCATTGGAAGATATTGAATATAATATGCATAACTTTGTTTTCATTAGTGTATAATCACCTAAAAATCACGTCTTCAGAAGCCAAAAAAAAGTTCATGGCACACAATCAATCATTTAGGAAAGAGGAACCAAAACTAATAAAATAAAAGTTGTATTTTTGTGAAATAAAAGGTCAGTACAAAAGCATCAACAAGTTTAATTCCCCTTCATAAATCATATTCATTCATTCCAACTATATCTCAACAGTTGACTCTGAAATCTATAATATCATACTGACAGTCATTTGCTGTTGCAGCAAGCTCACGTGATCTACTAAACTAGTTAAACTGAACACAAACAAATTCTGCGTAATTAAGCTGAAACATTCCCCGTACATGCGTGAGTAGTTTTCAAACAGGCAGTTTCACATTCCACTTTCTGATGCATTGCTTTTCTTTTGAAAACCAGATTGGCATGATTGAAGATGTACTACCAAAGTAGCCAATAGTGTTTTATATGTTTGGATATATTTATATAATATGTCCAGGTGGCCATTGGTGTTCTTTTATTTCAATATGGTATCAATAGACCTTTTTTACAGCAGCCATTTGACATGAAATAGTAGGATAAACACAGGTGATACTAATTAAGGTTTCATTCAGGTCAAACAGAGTCAGGGTGCTGCTATTGTGCATGTTGACTCACTGGAAAGAATCTGCTACACTAAATGGACCTTAATTAGTATCATTGGTAACACCAATGCTGTTTCATGTTAAGCAGCATCTTTCAGCTCATAGTTTTGGTTTTCCAGACAGAGATTTTGTTGCTTTGGTTCACTCTCACCATTTTAATAGTGTTGTTTTCAGCAGAAAAGCCTTGAGAACTGACTATATGCTACCTTCCAAGTGTGAAAAGGCAGATAAAGGTAGCTGGTGAACACAAAACCCAAACCCAAACAGCTCAAAAGAGAGTAAGCATTAGACTTCCGCCAGGTGGCCATAAACACAATAATGCTAATGTCGATTGCTCTGTATCTGTGGATGTGTAAATAAAAAACTGTTTGCTAACGTGTTCGCCATATAATTTTAAAAGGTAGTAATTTGTCAGTGTTCACAACCTGTTTCTGCTGCCACCGACAGGCCATAAATAAGTTATTGAAGGTTTAAGTAAAAATAGATTTACTGGTTTGAAAAGGCATGTGTATACACAAGTACCCTGTTAAAATAATGGCAGAGAAATGGCGGAGATATCTCTAACCTGGTGACTCTTTGTCTCTCCATCAGAACCTTCGTGTTCGAACGGTTCAGGGGCAGCAGTATCAGTGTCGGTCCGGGGTGAAGTTTCATGGAGATTTGGAGCAAAAATTTATTCTGGTGGACTGCCAATCAGTGTTGTATGGAACATACAGGTGAGTCAGTTCCACCTTTACCCACTCAGATGTACAGCTCAGCAATTAAATCAAAGTGGGGGCCATGAATTGATCTAATTTCTTTCTTCCTCTGATTGTTTTATTTGGAATTCTTTACTAAAAATTAGTCAACAGAGATGAAACCAGAAATCCAGCAAACTGTTGGTTACACCTGACATTAAAATGTGGTCTGTGTCTGGATGTCCTATCCGAGTAACTTGTTAATACAAGTTGTAAATGCACACAGAACACACTGTGATCCAGATTCAATCGAATCAGCCAGAACACATCTAGAGGCTTGCATTGTAATCGGCTCTCAGCCAGGTGTTAATCCGTACAGTGTATCCACAGTCTAAAAGAAAACAAATCTGCCTGGCAAGTGAAAAGGTCTGCTAGCTCAGCATTTTTCTGCTAGCTCAAGCAGTCCTGGCAAAAGCTACAAGTGAAAGTAGTGTCTATAGTCAGTAACAAGACTCCACACTCCAAAAAGCGATAATAATGATACCCAACCATTTCATTTTATGACAATTATGTCAGTCCTGGCTGACTAATTTGCATGTTGAGATCTGACCAAAGTGCAGGCATGTCAAGTGGGTGTGTGCAACTGCCTGGAGAAATGGAGGTGGTATACAGTATGTACTGACATGGTGAACATGTGAATGTGGGAGTCAGGTGACAAGGATTGATGGGGTATCTGGTGGGGAGCTGGAACGTGGCTGTAAGGAGGCACAGAGAGGCAGAAATAGGTCAAAAATAAAAACAACTGAAGCTGAAGCTGTTGTGACAGGGCAGAATCAAGATAACATCAATCAATACCAGGTGTAAATGCAAAGGCTGTGGATCAGATGTCATTGTCCAGATATATATCCAGATACAGATCACATCTTAATACCCTGCGGAAATTTTTAAAGGTCACACGACCAAAGATTTATAGCTAAATCAAGTGAGTACAAGTGTATATCCACAATTTCTATGTATATAAAGCATGTTTTGTAACTACTAAAGTACATCTAGACTTTAGATAATAAAGAATTGCATTAGTTCATTATAAGTAATATGTAAAATCTATTCATCCTCATCGCTTCTGGCTCTATGATGACTGTGGTACCATTTTCTTTTCAGTTACACGTGGTCGTTTGAGAAGATCCACCTTAGCATGGTCCTGGTGATCACAGGTCAGCTGGTTTGTTCTTATGATGAGGAGTTTCGAAGATTGTACGCTCGCTCCACAGTCCCTCCGGTTCAGTCCAAGGAGAGGTCAGCTGTCCGGTACCCGAGAGACTCTGTGGCCCTGCAGAGCCCAAACTCCAGCCAGCTTTCCCTCCATCAGATTCACATGAGATCCAGAGGGATGCACGGCATTAGAAGTGCTCAGGATGACAGGTACAACAATGCTGGCATATTGACCAGGGGCCTGAGTGTGCAGGAGAGGCTGCATCAATCTCACTGTCCTGACATGGGGAATCTGATGCGGGGGCACAGTTATGGTGGAGAACTGCAGAAGTTAAATTCCATGACTCGGCTGAGGATGGGAACCAAGGACTTCGGAGCCCCTCCCGAGAAGACTGGCTCTAACCCGAAGGGTGGAGAATTTCTGCTAACAAACAGGTTGTCTCAGCAGCATCTTAGGCACCGGAGTCGCTATGGAGCTGACCAGAATCTGATACCATTCAACTCTGAAACATCACTTCACAGGTGGAAGATGGACACATACTTTAACGACGGTGATATGCCTCTAGATGCATCATGTGATGCTTTATCCCCAATGACATCTCCATATAGTAGTCACACAGGCTTAAACGAGCATCAGTCACAGCTGATACACAGCCGGTCTAGGGACATCAAGTCCAGGATGGAAGAAATGAGGCAAAAGAGGCTCAGTCTGCAGGAATATGCCAATCTCAGGCAAAGCCAAGAGTCCTTGAGGTCTGTGTATCCAACTATGGAAAGACAAAGGTTTTCATTAAGAGGCCTGGACATGAGTGTGGCAGAATTAGAGCCAACTGCAGAAAACGGTTGTAGCATTGAGTCGGCCAACCACAAAGACAGTGAGCCAAATAAGGAAGGTGACAAAAGAGAGCAAATTCTCGAAAGAAAGAAAATACAGACATATGACTGGCATGACCCTCTTTCCAGGACAGCCTCAGCAGCTGATCTAGATATGAAACTAAATGATCCATCACTCAAGCTCTCAAGTCTCAGTATCCAGAACCCAAGAACCATGGAGTCTTTGACTGAAATTCCTGAAGAGAAAGAGGGTTCAAACCCACGTGTCAACAGTTCGGACTCAGCCGCATTCAAAGACGGAAATGAGGAGACTCGCGGAGACGAGAAAGCTGTTCCTAAGCTGACTTCTGTAAAATCGAGCTTACCTGCAGAATCACTGCGCCACGGTTCTATAGATAAGGTGGCCAACAGTACAGGCTCAGCTGCTCCAAGAGAAGGAGAGAAATCAACACCCAGTGAGGTACAAAAGATCACATCTACAGGATCTGAGCATGCAGTGGATGCTAAGAGTAGTCACACGGAAAAAGGGCAAACACAGAGCGAGGAACCAACCCTTCAAAGGAAAAATTCCATGAGAATGAAAGTATATTCACTGCTTACGTCAGACGAAAAGAAACCATCCAAAAAAGAGGAGAAGTCACTCCAGAGAAAGGCCTCATTGAGATCAAAGAATCCCTCAGGATCAATCCGAGCCGACCATACACAGGCATCTGCGTCTGACCAAACAACAAAGAAAGGTCAATCGCCAAGCATCTCCAGATCGCAGAGCCCTGTCGGTGGTGCAACAGAGACAGAGAAGCAGAAATCTCCATTCCCAAGATTATCTACTCAGCGTTCAAGCAAAAGAAAGACGAACATTGCAGCAGAGCAGGACCGAGGCTCGGGGAGCACACTGGACGACGAGGGAGCGACTGTCTATCAAAGACAGAAAGTCTACAGTCGATTTGAATATTTGCTTAACACTGAAAAGAGTCCTCGGGATAAATCAACGAGGATGAATCCCTCAGAGAAAGACAGAGGCTCTTCGCTGAACAGGAATGATTCTGGCTATCCAATGTACCAGACACAAAGTGGCACAGACAACAAGCTGGGAAGATTCATGCAGCGAGTAGGAAATCTTATAGGCAAGAACAAGTAGCGATGCAGGAAAAGAAGGCCACAATGCTCAAGAATGAAGGCAAAGTTAGTGCATTGGTCTATGTTGAGAAATCAACCAAATATTGCAGATGGTTAAAAGATAAGCAACATTACATATGTAGTAACATCTCCAAAGTTAGCAAGCAAGCAACATTAGCTAACTTAAAATGGTACTATATACTCCAAACAGCCATAACATTATGACCACTGAGCTCCCTGACCAATCCCTGACCGTACCGACAGACTGCTCTGCACTCTGTGTTCTGACCCCTTTCTATCAGAACCAGCATTAACTGTTTCAGCAGTTTGAGCTACAGTAGCTCGTCTGTTGGATCGGACCACACGGGCCAGCCTTCACCC